GACGTTACGACTTCAAACAAATAAACGAAATCTCTAGATTTTTAGTTCCGTTACATATATGTATCTTCATTTTAATTTATTTTCCTGTATGAAGACGGTCCATGACTAATCAATCTTCTCTACAAATGAGTTCATGTAATGCGTGTTGTAATGTTTTGTAACCTTTTAACTAAACATCTTATCTAAATGACTTGTGCATTAATCATTCGGATACATTCAACTGGGGAATTTACACAGTAACACAGAGCGCACATCGGGTGATCTTTGCAGGAAAATTAATTCAAAATAAAATGCTCAATTAAGACTTGAAAAGACCTTTAAGCATGAACATTACTAATTCAATTTGTTTAATCTGCAGTCAAGGGCTTCCTATTGAGTTTTCCTCAATAATTTAGAACACTTTATGGTTTTAAGAGGCTGAAGACGGAAATTGTCTTCAATGACAGCGAAAGGTCATAGAAAAATGTTCGCAGAATTTAGATAGACTTAGAATTTTCCCGACACATTCTGGGGGCCAGTTTGCAACAAAGGGAAGGTAAATTAAAACCTAACTAAGACGCGCTGCCAATATTTAATGTTCTGATCGTTAAGGTCGGACTAAAGTCAGAATTGGGTACGTACTTTCCTTAATCAAAAATAAATTATATCGACTATTCAATACAGTCAAATATTTAAAAAAATAATCATACTTCCATTAATTGATTTTAGTATTTTTCTAGCTTTTTTTTTAAATATATATTAGTATGGTGTTTGATGCTAAAAAACGTGACGTCACAATACAGAATCTCGTACAAAATTCATAGAACCCTGTCGTTCGAAAAAAGTATAGTATTTGACCAGTTGGCAAGTACCGAATTGTACTAACTAGGTTAAAACTTTGTCTAGGTTTTCCACCCAGCGAATTCTTTGGAAGAAGCTAGTTGAACTTTTTCATTGACAAACTCAGACAGGGTGTTGACAAAGAAAGGATAATTATGAAGTTTATGTCTTAAGCATATAAACACTGCATAGATAGTTATGATACATAGTAAGTAACTAAATAAGTGGTCGTTATATTAAATTCTTGTTTTAAAAAGTGAAGGACTTCAATTGCCGTTGATTACACCGCGCACCGGTCAGTACCTACTTAACAGAGATCGTTTTATTTAAGATCAATCCCTTGTCGTGTACAGTACATGAGTAGAAAATCAGTCCTTACGATGTTAACGACTGCGGCTCGGCGTGGGATGAAACGCAGATAATGTATTTTTTTATCTGTTCCTTTTTCTTCCAGATCAACGGCAGAGAAACAGGCGTTGAAATCCTCCAAGGTCACGTAACCAATATACGCGTATTCTCAACATGAACAAAATATTCAAGCTTGACGGCTCATTCTATATATCCTCCTTGATTAATGAAACTTTTTATTCCACTCTGTATTCATCTCCCAGAGGCGGAGTAACATTAATTGGACTCGGCGTTAGAGACTACATAAATACATAAAAAGGGTCAACAACCCTATCTTACGTGCAGGTATGGAGAGAATTCACTATTTTTTTTTATTTTGGGTAATATTACTATTCTAGTGTCATACGATGTTCGCGCGTGATTTGAATTTCGAATAAGATTAAATTCGTCGCATAGATATTCTCTATTATTTTTTATTATGGCATGGCTATGAAATTAGCCAGTGATTTAGTGCTTAGAGGTGACAATAGATGTTGATGGCGCTATTATTGTATTAAAATTTATTACTAGAACTATAGGGAACGAAATGTTCTATAGAATCATTGCTGTTTTATTCTGGACATGTTTGAACAATAGGTGTGTCGGTACCAACTCCATCGTTGATATGGGTTTACAAGGTAAATCAGTGTCACGAAATAAGTCTACATACTTTATTAGAATAATAGGGACCTGTGTCATTAATGAAATCAGGCCTCCATTTCGTATTGTCTCAAGTTAGGTACGTTCTCTGTAATATTTTTTAGTATCACAAAGTAGGTACCTAAATAGTGCATGCAAGTGCTTTGTGCTTCTACCTTCTTCGTAACATTTTTAATTAGAATAAGGATTAAGAAATAATGTCAACCAGTTCTGTGAAACCGAAAACGATATCAAAATCGCATTTGTACCACGAATTGATAACATTCGATAACTGGTTCTCCATACTTTTGCAAACACTTGACACTTGATAGTCTCGCTCGGATTTTTCCATCGATTTTAGCTTCCTAAATAATTTACAAGTCTGTGTAAGTAACACAGGTCGTATGTTACTATTTTTTCCTGTTGCATCCCCGATCTAAGATTGCATGGACATTCTTTATCATGTATGCTCTTCAGAAGTGGTTCGTTTAATCATCACTGTCAGTTATCTAGACAATCGACTCAAGGATGCATTTATATTTTCAGTTCACAGAAATGCTATGTCTCATATGATACGTTATCGTTTTATGACGTGACCGGCTGGGCATCAAAAGACTTGTAGTGCAAGTACCATAGATATAATACCTAGTTGAGACTGGCCGGCAGGGTGGGAATAACGATGAAAGGAGTTCCATTACCCTGAGAGCGAAACTCCTTAGTCATGTAGTGTTTTATAGCTGTCATTACATTTTAATTCCCAGAGTAGCAAATTGCCTGTACAACTATTGTAGTGAAGGAATATGTTTAATGTAGGGAAAGTCTAAGCTAGAAAGGTCAAAAGGGCAAGTGTTTATGTAAATATATCGCATTTGCAAAATTCCCATCCCGTCATATGTATTGATTGATATGAAATAACACAATATTTACTTTATAGATACTTACATAGTTTAACAAAGATGCGTTTTAGAACATCTTATTTACTAACGTCCAGTTTCTAACCTATCTATCTGTAGATTTTCTTACTAGAGATAGAATTTTGACACATTTTGTGTGTAGCTCATGTCAAAATTCTATCTCTAGTAAGCAAATCTACAGATAGATCTATAGGTTATAGAAAGTGGACGTAAGACAAAAGAAGTAAACTAGAGACACAAAATTTCTAACAGAAACAGTAAATATTAGGTATCTGTACAGTCATTTTTGATTTCGTAGTATCGCAATAAAGTCATAGTCTATCTACAATAGAACACCTTATTCCATAAAACACCACAATAACTTGATTGTAGTCCTATCTTAACTATCTCAAGTAATCAGTAAAATACCAAAACCTTGAGGCTCGTTATATCATAGATAAAAGTTAATTTAACGAGGAAAAATGTTAGCTGTGGCTGTTTATATATAACTCAAGTGACAACGATATCTACAGGTAGGTAAACCAAAATAAATAGTGTTATTTACATTGCGGGCTGAGACGTCAGATGTACGTAATATATTGTTAAAAGTAATTTAGAAAACTGATAATGAAATATGGAAAACTAGGCGTGTAGTTTTTTAGTCGTAACATTCATAATTTCATGCCTCTATAGTCGTAATATATTAAATATGAGATTTTAAGACGGATCACCTGATGGTAAGCAATCGGCGTCGCCCAAACACCTGAAACATCAGAGGCGTTACAAGTGCGTTACCGGACATTTGGAAATTGTGAATTTGAGGATTGTGGGGGGATTCGGTGATTGAGGAGACTGGGGGTAATTGAGAATCCGGTAACCTCACTCACACGACGTAACACAACGCAAGTGTGTTTATTGTTTCACGTTGGTTTTCTGTGATGCCATGGTGTCGCTCCGGTCGAGCCAACCCATTTGTGCCGAAGCATGGCTCTCCCACACTTAAATATACATATAGGTAAGTATTATGTTTAATAGTTATGCACCTATCTACCTACTAACTATGTTAGCATTAACTATTCATTTTTCACCAATCAAATTATGAATTTGATAGAATCTGAAACTCGACTTCGTTCGTTAAATTACGCTTTAAACCTAAAGCCGTGTAGACTTATTACAAATAAGTAATTAGACAATTATCCACTAACTAAGAATGTAATAAGGCGGAAATATTTACTATTTAAGTAGCAAGGAAATTGGGAATCTGCGTACCTATCTTGACGAATTTTCCGGTTAACTAACACAAACTTCAAAGAACTCATTACAATATTGTAACATGATTCACATCCTCCATTTATTTTACCGAAAAACGCTAAATGTTCGAGTTTGTTTATGTTAAAACGATAGATGGGGAATTGGGAATTTCTTAATCAAAACTAAAATAGATTTTCATAGAAGTTTAGTTCACTTGTTATAATCTACAAGGTTGATTGTTCTTAGTTCATAGAAAAGTGGCGAATGATTCATTTGGTTGTTATTTTTGTTGGTGTAATGGACAGGAATATTTATGAAAGGAGGTTGTAATTGGCTTAGGTAGGTTACGTCATTTTACTTCATGCGTTATTGCTGCTTCTATGTTACAGATGTATGGAGAGTCGTATAGGTAACTAAAAAAAAGTCAAGGAATTAATCGATGGATGCTCAAATACAAAAAGTTTATTGTGTTTTGAAATTTAACAGATATTTTCTTAATTATAATACTTAATCAATAACTCTCAGGTTTACAAGGAAATGCAATGGAAACATTGTGGCGAGCTGTCGTTCAACGCAGAAGAATAAGGAGATATCTTTGCCCAGCCGTGGACGTCTTCCGGCTGATGATGTTAATAACATGATACACTTTATCCTTTTATTATTATGTGATACAGAAACATTATGCTCGCTTTATCTTAATCCTGTATGTCCATTTCCTACAAATGAAGCGTTCACCTAAGTAAATACAACATATAAGCACTAAAAATAGATTCGTTCATTTCAATGTGACCCCCGTCATAAGTACCTACTTACTCATTATTTAAACAAGCTAGAGTTCGCAGAAATTTTGCATCTGTGGTTATTTATTGACCATCGTCAATAGTCGATCGTAAGTGGTCGTTCTTAGACAATGTACTACCTATTCACTATAACATAACATGAAACAGTAACCTAGTCTTATTTACGTTTAGAAATTCTGGCTAAATCATATCTGTGCCATCATTTCTGGCATTACATTAGCCAGAACACTATTGCGAGGCAATAACTGAGCCAGATGTTCTCTGGGTTACCTACTTCGCTAACCACTGACATAAATAAATTAAATTGAAATAGTAATTCGATTAGCTATTAACTTCTCACTGCGTAATTAATATTAATCACTTTGGTATCGTATCCAACTTTGCGTGTTATGTTTTTTTTAATTTTTTTTTTATTTCACACCTGTCAACTTTTTTTACGTCAAATCAGATCGAGCAAAGGCGTCTCATACTTTCCCAAGGTCTTCGAAATAACAATGATACAATTTATATTATGATATTATAAAAAAATGGTTCTGAATGCCAGTTATAAATTGAAATGAGAAAGCGTAACAAGAATTTTAAATAAGAAGTCGACTTGTGTTATTGCTACGTGTGTTTTAAAACAAGTTTCTTTTGTTGATAAGCCAACAAAATGTCTGGACGAGTCATTGACTCCTGCTGTGTATTTTTATATCATGCATTTATGTATGAATATTGATGTAAGATTTAAATGTATACTACACATAACGTTATAAACTCCAAAAGGGCAAATTGTGGTTGCATGTTTGGAAGATATTATCCAACATTGAAAGAGGTTGCTTGCTTGAAGAAACATGGCTGATTTTATATTAAGATCTTGACTTATAAGTATTTATGAAGTAGCCCTAGCCGAGATGGTGAGTGGACTGAATTAATCTAAATAATTTATATAGATAATATTAATTTTTTCGTTGTAAGATTGGTGTACAACATTTCTAAAAATAGTTAGGTAGCTAGTTATGCAAAATTAAAACGGAAATAGAATTCGTATATTACGCAAACTAGCTAAAACCTGTTGATAACTACCTCTGTAGTTACCTGTCTTTTAAAACTAATTGTATTTAGTAAATAAGGTAGTAAAGGTCCTAATTGGTAAAATTGCGCCAACAAGATTCCAAAAGAAGAAGATTGCATCAAGTTTAAAATGTTATCTAATTTTACGTAAAACTTATTGTCAAAGAACTTCACATTATTGTACCTGCTTAGTAACGGTCTTGGCCAAGGCCGATCCTATTATTATTATTTTGGTCGTAGAGAAGCGCCACGGATTACTACGGTGGAAGTTTCCTTTGTACTGTAATCAATCTAAACAACTTGTAGTCTAAACTTATTTTTAACCTTCCTTTTTGTAGTTTCTTTTAGTAATTCTCTTTGTCTTATTACTAAAATATTATGATGGTTACATGAATGAGTAGGTATGTGTAATGTATTGTATTCTTCAGTCTAGTTTATTGGCTAAAGAAAAAACTTTAATTGGAACGAGTTAATCACGGTTAATCAGAGCGTGGAGCGTGGCAGCAAAGAACTCTTGGTTCAGTTATGTTAAGTGTAGCGCACTACTGCTTCTGTGCAACTTGGATCTCGTCTTTGCATTATTTACTTATTGCTATTGTACATGAACAACTAGGTAGGATTGGGTTTTGAGTGAATTAAAGCAATCGTGGTAGATAATTACTTAATTAAATACGATAATATGTCGGTATTAGTATGTTGTGTACTGATATTGTGTACCTAGTCTGCTAATTAGGCAAACAATCCACAAACTAAGTAGGCAGTTCTTAGTTACTTTGAAGTGGCCGACTTTTCTACACACTATGCAAAATTAACTTCAATGGTTTCTTTGTTTGGTTGCATTCGTACCTGACCAGGTAATTACAATGTAATCTTAAAAATTGTGTGTGGCGCCAGCCAGTAATAACAAAACACATTACTTATATCACTAACTGCAGCTAACGATATGATCGCTTGCCAGACGATAATTCTAGCGGTAATCACTCATTATCTTCTCAAATCAGGGTCGTTCACGATAAGTCACGCAGCTGGGCCGGCCTACGGAGCACTCATGTCTTTGTTTTTACCTAAAGCATTCTTAACTTTCTGAGTTGGGACCTGTATTCTGAATCGATTAGGTACTCACCATTGAATGTGTCGTATGCTGTAGGCTGGTAGTCTTCCCGAAATGTATCCTGCGCGTATGCCGCTATCAACGAGCTCTTCCCAACAGCTCCATCACCCACCAACACACACTTTATCTTCTCTTTCTTTCCACCTTTCACCTTCCTTCTGTCTTTAATCTGAAACATGCGGTTCAAAGTCCGTCTGCTCTTTTTATCCCTGACCGCCCACTCGTTCACTTTATCACAGCAATTCAAGTCTTCAGACACATCGTCTCGTATCACAGTGCGGCCGTTCTCTTCAGCCACTTCGGAGTAGTCGTAGTCGTCATCGTCCCGCCGCGAAATCGGGAACTGGCTCGGACTGTGCACACCGAACACGAACGGCCCGTCTCTCTCGGGCACACGGGCAGCGAACCCGTTCGCCGGAGTCGGGGGCTTCGCATAATGCACTACCGGAGCACGATACTGGCTCGTAAGATATTCGTCAGACGCCTGTGGATCGAACCTGAACACGAGCTCTGCTTCTCTGCGGTCCAAACTGAGATCTGGAGCTGTAACTTTGTCTTGAAAGTATCCAACTTTCTCGCGTGCCCTTGTCTCATGTAGCCGTCTTTCGAGTTCGACGTTCGATGGTTTCCAGTAATCTGGTCGGTATTCGTAAGAATAATCTGTAGGCAGGTTCCTGGGCGCGGGCAAGGGCCGGTGCGGGCCAGTGTCGCGGGGAGGCGCGCGTGGTGGGACCATTAGAGGCTTTTGCGGTTCCGCCAACAACGGCCGGCGCGCCGACAGGTTCGTGTTTCGGTTGAACATGATCCCTTCTAAACTGGGAGACATTTGCACTGTCACGACTGGCTGTCAACAAACGGATTACTGAGGTGTGCGTTTGCGCACATTACTTGCGCGATGTAATCGAAATATATCGCGGTTTGTGGAGCGCGCGGACGCGAGCAGCGGCGTGCAGTCACCGCGGAGAACAGTACGCGACTGTCTCGGGGACGGCGGCCGGTAGCCGCGCTCCCCTCGCCCGGAGAAATGACCTGTTGCTTCTGTTACCTGTTCAGGTACAAGCGACCGTTTCGCGAGCAAAGCGCAGCTGCTGCCCATGAACAAAGCCATCATATGGCGTCGCCAGTCCTCTTACATAGCACGGGCACCGCAAGGAAATTCATTCACTATATCCATACAACGATGAATGAAACACGACCGACGTGTTTTGTTTACCTAATGTTCAATTTCAATGTTTATTTGATAAATTGGAATAGCTTCCACAATGCATTATTATTTATTTTAGTTTTGAAGAGTAGGTAGCTATACCTACCTTTATCCTTTTTTTATGAAGTACTTAACCTTAACACATGCAATGCAAGTATAGAACTTCTTAAGTTACAAACTTTTAGGTTTAACTTTTATGAAATTTAGTTTATTTATTTATTGTAAATAGCAATAGCGAAAAATAATAGGTCTTCTTCAAAATAACAATGTTTGATTAACAACTACTTAGGTACTTAATTTATGAATACATTACCAATAGGCTTACTATTGGTAATTTATTCTATAACACCGTAAAAGATCCGAAAGTTCGTTTTTGTTTTTTCAGAACTTTCAAAAGAAGTTGCACAACAATAATAGTGACAGCTGATAGCACAAGGCGCAAAGTTGCAAGTTTTGTTATCAAGAGGGCATTGATTAATAATTTGATAAAAGATTTCAAAACTACCCAGTAAACATTACTGGATATTGATTATCGAACTAAGTCTATAGTGAATTGTCTATCTTGGCAATTATTATCGAATTATATTAGTTACAATGAATTAAATCACAGCTACAATTAAATTAATAAAATAAAACATTCACATCGTAAAACGAAATAACAATGTCAAAATGACATTGACGGGCACGTGTTTTTATTTTGACATAATCATGACAGATGCCATGCTGCATTCGATTCGTTTCGGAACGTGATTTTTTCATAGCTATTTGTAGCATTGAAGTAAGGCATAGAAAGAGATGCAAGATAAAAAATCAAAGAAAAGCAAGAGAGTAAAAGGAAATATAATGCTTAAATCTGACCTTTTTATTATTGTGTCAAAGACAACTGATGAACTGAACTGACAAAACTGTCAAATTGAATATAAGCATGGTTATGTTCGGCCGAGTTTATTGGATTATTTTTAAATAAAATATATTAATATAAGTCTTAACATAGTTTTGTGTTAATTGTAAAAGAAAATACATTTGTATCAATATGGCCAAGTTTAAGTTGAGTAAGTATTAACTGTTGTTTTCATTATAAATATTTTGGAAGCATGTGATGCTGCTACGAAGCAGTCAATTTGAAAACAAATTAAGCTCTGTAATGTACAAAATGCTGTTTTGCTGATCTACACAAAGATAACCAATCTACGAATGAAACACCAGTGCCAACTACATAATGAGATTATCACCTGAAAAATAGTTTAATTTTATCAATATTGCACAACTTCAGTAATTGTATTAACTTATAGGTATTCATTTTCGTTCCATGAACTCTAAAAACTAATATCAACTTATTTAGTACTAACCATAATTATGTCCTGTTTTCAAACAATTAATTTACTAAACTTAACCTCAATTTTTTCAGAGAAACCATCAAAGAGACAGCCAGCTCGTCTCCGGTACAAAATAGAGAAGAAAGTAAAAGAACATAACAGAAAGTTAAAGAAAGAAACTAAGAAGAATCCAAAATCTAGGAAGGCCAAGCCTATACAGATACCAAATGAATGTCCATTCAAAGATGACATTTTGAAGGAAGTAGAAGCTGTTAAAAAGCATAAAGAAGAAGAGAGACAGAAAAAGAGGGAGTTAGCTAAACTTGAGAAGCAGAAGAAAATGGAAGAGAAGAAAGGTGGTAGTAACGTCAGTATGGGAACTTTGGTAAGCAATTTTGCTCTCACTTTTTTCTTGTCTTAAGTTTACATAAATGCACCATTGAATTTCAAACAAAGCTTGGCCATAGAACCAGAGGAGCAACTAAAGTTGTTAAATTATTAACTATTGAGACACATACTAAATGTACTCTGTTTTTTATTATGTATTGTCCTCTGTGTTGAATGTGTGTACATAAATTAATAAATAAATAATAAATAAAAAAATCAAATAAAAATCGCTGGTAACTCATGGTCGTGGAAATGTCTTGTAGGCTGTGCGACATCGCCGCGACCGCACACACTGCTCATGAGGAAGTTACCCTCTGTATTTCAAAACTAGTAGAGTTTTTCCTTAGTATTTTCACATTAGTAACCTACGATTTTTAGTTAATTTTGTTAAATAAACATTAAGAGAGTTGGTTTTTTTTAAATTTAACACAAACATAATTTTGTTTCGATTGATTTTACTTTATATTTTTTTTATGGTATAATAATAACTATCGAAATCTACCATTCAACATGTCAATACTACATCCATTTTCTTAAACTCCAATTCAGTTTAAAATCAACCAAATACCACTAAAATAATTGCAGGTTGAAAATGCACAAGCAAGAGGTAAAGTTCATGATGCATTCAAAGGAGATGAGACCACAGATGATATAGAGTTTGGCAAGGATAGGAAACAAGAGAACTCCTTGAAGACTTACTACAGAGAGTTCAAAAAGGTTATCTCAGAGGCTGAAGTCATCCTCGAGGTTGTTGATGCTAGAGATCCATTAGGTGAGTAATTTGTTCTACAAATCACTAAAAAAGATTTTCTATATGAAGTAGTGGTTTATGCGTTTATGTGACTTAAATGTGTGAATTCAATATCTTTATTTATATAATTCTTCTGTGAGTGTGTACATATGTCACTGAACTTCTCTCAAACGACTGGACCTATTTTGATGAAATTTTTTGTGTGTGTTCAAGGGGATCTGGGAATGGTTTAGATTCACAAATCAGCCCGGCAGATGGCGCTGCAGTCGATGTTTAGGTTATCTATCCAAAACAGCTGAACTAATTTGAATGAATTTTTGTTTATACATTCAAGTGGATATGCAGGTCAACGTCTGTCGGGTCCGCTAGTAATAGTATAAAAAAATAAAAGTGACTCTTATTGAATAAAACACTTGTTTGCAGTACCAGTATTTTAATACGGTTTAGGAAATTAAATGGTATTCATTATTAAATTGTTTACATTATGTTAAAAATACTTAAGGTCCTATACCATATTTATGTATTTATTTAAATTCTGAAAACCTTTGTTACACTCATAGGCGAGAAACACAAAGCTCTACTTCTTAAGATTCTTCTTACTTTTTAGACCTTTATCACATTAACGTAACTTTTCAAACAACTAATAATATAATTACTAAATTCCAGGTACCCGTTGCTCTCAAGTAGAGGAGGCAGTCCGTGATGCAGGCAAGCGTCTGGTCCTAGTGCTAAACAAAGCTGATCTGGTACCTCGTACCAACCTTGAAGCTTGGCTCAAGTACCTCCGTAGGACAGCCCCCACTGTACCATTCAAGGCTTCAACACAAGACCAACAGCACAACTTAGGAACGAGAAAAATGAAACACGTTGTTAAAGAGAAACAGATGAAAGGTTCGTAATCAAAGTCAAAATCATTTATTTCAGTTAGACCAAGAAGGCACTTATGAATGTCAAAAAAAATTTTTATTAAAACTATTTGGTCATTCTAAGGTGTAGATTCCTATGGAGAAGAATGAGCAAGCAGCTCCATAGGTTACTCTTTCTCAATAAGGTTCATAATACAACTTTTAGTAACACAATTTTATTATAATATGTATTCTGATTGTTTTGCCCGATATATCTTTGTATTCAGATTGAAACAGTTTTGCATCCATAATAGTTACTACTAGTTGTATATTACTAGTGCAGTAGTACTGCTTGAGCTATACAACATAAAGGTGTGTTTACGGCGGCGTTTCGATAATCAACATTCTCGTATTCTCTATTTGTAGCGACAATTTGAACACAGTCATTCTCACCAACCCGTAACTGTCTACTGCTGGACAATAACATCGTTCCTTCACTCCTAAACCATAGCTATTTTACCTAGTCAAGAATGTAAGGTAACACTGTCCTTTTATCCCCAGGTTCAGCGTGCGTAGGCGCAGAGTTAATAATGAGCCTCCTAGGCAACTACTGCCGCAACAAAGGTATCAAGACGTCCATCACAGTGGGTGTGGTGGGTCTACCCAACGTCGGCAAGAGCTCCATCATCAACAGCTTGAACAGGTCCAAAGCCTGCAATGTAGGCAGTACTCCTGGAGTTACCAAGTGAGTTTTTTTTTTATACTTTATAGGTCTACGTTTGACCATCATCTCGCCTGATGGTATGCGATGATGTGGCCGACGATGGAGCACGCCTACCTATGAGCAAACTGTTCACTCGGGACTTAAAGACACCCAAGTCATATTTGACGGGAAACACAGACTCTGGCAAGGAATTCCATTCCTTAGCGGTTCGCATGAGGAAGCTTGACGCGAAACGCTTCGTGCGAATGGGTGGAATGTCCTATATACCATATAAGGGTGGCGCTCCGCCGTTCGTCTGGTGGTACGGTGGTGAAATGGACTAGGGGGAATAAGTTTGTTCAATTCCTACGCACACTCACCAAAATGTTTCCTTTGTGTTTGAGTTGATCTTACATTACTTGTAAAAGTTACGTTTGTAAACGAAGTAGTAAATTGTGTTTTTACTATATTAGATTTGTCTCAAGTTAACAAAGTTAATATAAACATTGAAAATGTAATTTTTTCATACATTTTGGTTTGACTTTTGCTACAAATGCCATATAACATGGGGCGGTACGGAGTTTGCTACGGGACAGGGTATTAAAAAATTACATCATTATCATAACGTATTTGTAAATAAAACATTTCATGTTTTCATCTAGTTTCTTAACTCCTCACCAATCTTCACCTTTCTAACATAATTCTTTCTATAATTCCAGACAGATGCAAACAGTTCAGTTAGACTCAAAGATCAAGATCCTGGACAGTCCTGGAATAGTGTTCCACTCCGGTCCAGAGAGTGACTCGTCGGTGGCGCTGAAGAATGCGGTGCGCGTGGGCAGCCTCAAGGACCCCGTCACTCCGGCCACTGCTATACTGCAGCGAGCAAACAAACACACACTTACGGAGTTGTACAGTATTCCAGAATTTAATACGCCTCAGGTCAGTCAGTTCAACCTATTAAAAATGTAATTTATAACTTGTAATTTGGTGTGACTATAATTTCTCGCCTAAGTAACGTTGTGATGTAATATAATTTTATAAACTACGTTTAAAAGAACCAACATCAAACCCCTCTCCTTTTTTGAAGTCGATTAATAAATATACTAAAACTTTTTCCTAAGTGTTATAAACAGTTTTTTGAAAACCTCACCAATCCGGTTCAGCTAACCGCGAGATAATCGCGCACAAACATGCATACATACAGGTCAAACTGACAACCTCAATTAAACTTAAACCATAATTTGATACTTTTGAAACATCAACAAATATAAAATAAATAATCGTCTGTCAGTCAGCTACGCGCTCGTTCTAAAAAGTAGATTCGAATGGAGAAGAACGAGCAAGAAACTCCATTCAAAACAGTAGTTTTACATTTCTGTTTCATTAAAACTAGTGTCTGTCACAATGTAGGATAAGTTACCAGTGTATCATAAAATATAGTCCTCAAGAACAGAGCTTGAAAATGAAAGACTTCTTTGACATATTAACCAGGTTTCTGATTATAGTCTCTTATTATTGCAGGAGTTTTTCGCGCACGTAGCGTCTCGTATGGGCAGGTTCAAGAAGGGAGGAGTGCCCGACCAGGAGGCTGCAGCTAGAATTCTACTGAACGACTGGAACACTGGCAAGGTACGGCATGATATTATTATGGTTAAAAAAAGATACGAGCAGACAGATTACCTAATGTTTACAACACCGGAGGAGTTATAAGAGCGTCGTTCGCTTGGCCTTCGCTGGAGTAGTTTCGATTTCGCTTTTGACATGTTTTCAATAGCAATAGAATGCTATTCATCATTATCATCAGCCCGTGGTTGTCCACTGCTGGACATAGACCTTCCATTGGAGAGCCAATGGCACGCGATTAAGCTCGGTCTTCAGCTCTTCTCATCCAACCACTGCCAGCCACCTTGCGGATATCGTCACTCTACCTAGCTGGAGGGCGCCCTACATTACGTTTGCGCGTGACACGGTCTCCACTCCAGAATACATCTATCCCCAACGTTTATCGGTTCTTCGACAAATGTGACTGGCCCACTGCCACTTCAGAGTGCCTGGCACGAATAACTGTCGCATTCGTAACATAATAGTATCATGCGCGTTCGGCGCTCTGATTGGCCGGCTCAAGTGAACCAACCAATCAGAACTCTTAACTCGCTCAATACTGTTACGTTACGAATGCGATAGTTATTCGTGCTTGGCCCTCAGCTTACTGAACCTTTGGGCTATGTCGATTAATAACTTTCTATCGGACCATATCATTTCGAATTTGATCCTTCAGAAAGACTCCGAGAATAGCCATCTCCATAGCTGGCTGCGTGACCTTAAATTGGTGTATCAATCGCACTGTCAGTGTCCGTCAGTCAGTGTCAGGGCTATTCATTCATTATGTTTTGGCTCGCTTTAACATGGGATATCATAACATAACTGGAGTAAACTGACTTTAACATTTAATAAAATGTCTTACCTCTTAAGAGTAAAAAAGCCTAATGTTACACCATTTTACCCGAGCGTCGCGTTTGATGCGGAGCGAGGGGGACTGGGATGCCGTCTCCTCCTTTTGCGAAGCAGTCATGCTAGCTAAGGAGGAGGCGGGACGCGTGAGGCAGCGAAGCGCTGCCTCCTCGCAACCCAGCCATCGCGAAGGACACACCGGGCGTCGGGGATCGCGACGATCTCCGGCCACCGTAAGCGCGGGCCTGCGGACGGCGAGCATGGGTGGCTCCCCGTCCGACCAGAAACAGACCCGAGCGTACGGCGCCGAGCGTTCCGCGCGCGCCTCAATGAGCCATCAGACCACCACGGATGGGGCGCAGTAGGGCTGATGCCGATACGAAGCTGCGGAGAACGTAAAAGGTTACCGGGGCTCCGGCTCGAAGTACATGAGTAGAAACGGGGTGGTTTTTAGTCAGTAAGAGTCTGACACTCCCTTTCGCCTCACCCAGGTGGAAGAAGTCATTCGATGATTTTCCCCCATTAAAAAAAAAAACAAAAAACAGCTTTATTAATATCTAATTTTCCTTCCCATCAGGTGAGGTATTTCACATTGCCGCCAGAAACTCCAGAATCTGAAATCCACGTGGACGCTAAGATTGTGTCGACCATAGCAGCGGAGTTTGACATCAACTCTTTTGAGGCCATGGAGACTGAAGCCATCAACGAACTGGCAGCTCACGACACGGGAGTCGAAGCTATTAAGGTAATTTTTACTTTGTATACACATTTTTTTAAATGACTTCTAATTATCTTTAGTGCTGATGCTTGGCTATAGCGTATATATATATTTAATAACCTATATACCCTTCGATAAATGCCCTTCTTCTTCTTCCTAGTCGATTCCCTGACTGCTGAGGATCGTGACTCGTTTCTGATTTTGCTCACTAGATGTCGCCACTTGTCTCTTTCCGTTGCTTGGTGCATTGCAATATTTATGGGTATCTCCTTCTCCAGCTCCTTGGATATTTGGTCAGACCACCGTATGGGACTCCGGCCTTTTAGTCTCTTTCGATAAATACACTACCCAACACAAAAATAATTATCCAAATTGGATCAGTAATACCGGAGATCAGCGCGTTCAAACAAACAAACGTTATTACAGAATGACTCTTAGATACAATATGTATTTATGTTTAACATCTTTTACATTCCTTACAGATGACAAGCACTGGGCCCGTGAAAGCGGCTTTAGAAGACGACATGCAAGTAGACGAAGAAGAGTCCTTACTACCGAAGTCAGTGAGCATAGGCTCAAAAGTAAACAAAAAGAACAAATCTAAAGAAGAACAAAAAGATAAGGAAGACCCAGAAATGCTAATCGAAGGCAATACTAAACAAAATCTTTTAAGAAAAAAACAATTTAAAAAGGATAAAAAGAAGAAAGCAAGGAATGATAAGCAAGCTGTCAACTTAGCGAATGTTCTAGAAAATGTTACTATCACCAGTTATAAGAAGAAAGATGACTACGATTTCAAAGAAGACTTTTCTCTATAAATAGGATTTGAATTGTAAGATTTTGTTGTAACTTTCATTGAAGTCAAGCTGGACAGTGTACAAAGATACAACGCCTACTCAATAAAATGTAATTGAGACTAATAAATTATTGTTTTATTAAAAAAGAACAATGAAAACAATATGGTTTCGTTTAGATTTAGGCGCATTTTTCTAAAACACAAATGGAGAAGATAACTAATTTTTATTTTAATGTCCATCTGGTATATTCTTTTAAATCATTACACAAATATTTTTTATTTTTTACAGAAACGAATACTTTCGACGATATATTGATTTCAAATGTCGCATGACGTCACTTCTATGTATATTTTATACGTAGAAATGACGTTTTAGCCCCACTCCTAAACTTTGATTCGATAAATCTAAGTATCATTTTATTATACAACAAAATAAAAAATACGTGTCTAATATTTTTTCATTACCTAACTGACGAACTAATTAGTATTTTAATTTTCATGTCCTGTCATCATCACTTTTCCGTGACTCTTATTTGTCTAACCGATAAGGTCCAAAGTGGTACCGAACACAAATAGTGTCTTTTTAATGTAGAAATACCTACACTAAATTATATTTAACATTATTTGACTTATGTCGAAATACTCAAATGCTACCCAATTTTTAGTCGCGTATAAGTATTGTTTTGTCTGTCACTACAAATTCTTCCTAAAATGACAGAGACGGCACGATATTTAAGTACAACTTAAAATTGAGTAGCCTTTCAGTATTCGAAGCGTACCTACATAGAAACTGTAGTAAAGGACACATTAGCACATCCAGTACACATTAAATTTAAAATATTTGAATTTTATGATACAATTTCTTTTGGACCACGTCATACTTATGTTATCACAGACATATGTTACTTGTTTGTCAAGCTGCTTCTCAAGGACATAAAATGCATAATTTACTTGAAAATACAGTGAAACCTGGTTAAGTGAGACATCAAGGGACCTGCAATGTCGTTTCACTTATAGAGGTATTCCACTTACCCAGTGTCTCAGATATACAGGTATAAATAAATATCTGTCTCATTTACAGAGGGTTCCATTAATAGAGGTGGACTTGGAATTACGTGTGGAATTTGTGGGTAGAATAAGAATGAGTAAACAAACAATGTTATCTCAGTTACAGAGGTTTATGCATATAAAATTTACTCGCTGTTTCAGTTATAGAGGTAACTATGATGATAAATCGAAAGAACGAATCCCAGATATAGAGGTTTACCTCGTCCCACTAACAGAGGTAATTCAGTGCCAAAGTGTTGGGACCTCAGCATGAGTTCCAGTTATGGAGGTTTCTCACTTATCCAGGTCCCACTTAACCAAGTTTCACTGTATTTTATTTTTTTCTTTACCTACATCTACATAATATCTTTGTTAAAACTTGTTATATTGTCAAGTTAACATAATGCGCTTGCGCACAGTTATCTCTTATTGTTCAAGAAATTCCAAAGAATTTACTTGTAAATTGACTTTTATTTAATTTTGTATTTTTGCTAATTGGATTAAAACTAATAAACTACAATGATACCTAATATAGTGTTATAAAATGGTTGGAAATGATAATCCAATCGTCTGTGTTTTCAACGATTTTTTAAATAATTAAATTGTCTAAAATGGAGTCCAGCCTAGGTATGAAACTATGTACGGACTTTTAAATAGAAGAACCCAAAATAATATAATTAGTTCAACCCAATCAGAGAATACCGTGTTTCGTGGTCAAAGATCTTTGCAAATCAAACAAACAAAGTAAAACGTTTATTTCACAGATCATATCTAATGTATATATCTTAAAAGAAAACATAAATGCGATATAAAAATGCATGTCAATAGTGTTACTATGTAAGAGTAATAAATACAATACACGCCACACATTCTGACTACTATTAAAATTATCAATAGCTAGCGTGACGATAAATGTAGCTATATAAACATTGAATTAATTATACATTTCACTTGGCAATTGTTGGTAAAACATGCAGACTGTCAGTTGAAACAGTTTAATGATTCTATTTAACACTGACGTGTACTAAACCAAGTGATAATGTAATCATTTATTTAACATTTTAGTAACTAACATTAACTCAAAAGCTATATGGGTATAGTTATCTGACTGGTTTATGGTAACAGGAAAAATGTCAATATTATTCATTTAATTTTGATTTAGAAAATAAATATTATTATACGTGTGCTGTACAGGAATTACCATTCCCTGGAGGAGTAGGCAGGGGTCTGCTATTTTATGATCTTTTTGATTTTAAGTTTTAACTAAATTTAATGTCTACATTCACAACTAGGTACAAACTATGACCTTTTATTCCACAGTGACTTTCCTACATTAATATCTCCTCTTATTGTAGGTACTTAATCCGAACAATTACCTTTATAAATTCACTTCTATACATTACGTCTTACGGAGTCGCGTAGAACCTAACGGGTTACCGGGACTCCGGCTCAAAGTGTAGGTGTAGGAACGGGGTGGATTTTAGTCAGTAAGAGTCTAACACTCCCTCCCGCCTCACCCAGGCGGGTGCAGTCAATCAATAATTATTTTCCATCCTTAAAAATAATAATAAAAAAAAACAGAAAAACATTACGTCTAATCTACATCTACCCATTGGTGCAAAAATTCAACTAAGTATAGAATCCTACGTCAGCAAGATGAATCCTATGCGCGCCCATTGTTCAATTCTCAGTATGAATTTCAGAAACAAAAGCATTAGTTCAGGTATTGATGTAATTGATGTTGCTCATTGTTTTTCAGATCATCTCTCTTGTAATTTGGTGACTGAAAACTATGTATTTTACTTTATTTTCAGCCATGATCGTCCCACTTCAGCGCAAAGGCCTAAGAGGGCACATTTAGTACCTATTCATACTTAGATACGCCTACAGCATTCATTAAACTATTGTACCAAGTACTAATAACTGTTTATGTAGGACAAGTTCCTTGCATTTCAGAGATTAGATAGGTAAGTGTTGTTACTTGTTGGAAAATGTTACTTTGTACCTTGTAGGTATGTAATGTAAGGTTCATAACTCAATAGTAGTTAAATAATAATTTTGTATTTAATTAAGAAATGATATAAAAGTTATTATGACCGAAAATTGAGCCATTTGGATTGTTGGAACACATTATATTAAAATTTTAAAGCACCCTGTACACATTATATGTTGACAAAATTATGAAAAGGTTGATATCGAAGTGTTTGTATTGAAATCGATGTGCAAAAGACTAGCCTGAGGTTTATATTTTAATTTACCTAGGTCCTAGGTAGGTACCTACTTATCTACCCACTTATATTTTTTTACCGACCAGGTGGTCGGCTCTGATTGGTTGGTTCATTGGAGCCGGCCAATCAGAGCGCCGAACCCGGTCTCGTTTCGATTACTTTAAATGTAAAAAAAACTCGTCCTGTGGTATCTTCACTCACAAACTACCTACCAACTAAAGAATTTACGCGAAACTTCAAGCGTGACCCACTTAGCTTTAAATTGTAATCGATAACAGCTGATTTATAACTGATTAGGTATTATTACGCCAATTGCCAATCATAAACTCATGTAAAAGGTATTTATACTCAAATACCTTTGCCTCAATCTAATCTCGATGGACTAGGTAAATAGGTAAGTATTTATACCTATCAGTACCCACAAATAAAACATTTTGTACAAGTAGGTAGGTATGTATGTATGTCTAAATGCCTAAATCATAAGTATACTTTTACATACATACGATGTACGGGTACGAGGGCCCGAAGCCAATTGCACAGAGACCCTTTACAGAGCAAAGTACCTAAGGAAAGATTCTTTTTTTATATTTTTTGTAATTTAATTTGATTAATGTAATTGGTGTCTACCGTGTTAATCAATAAACAAATAAATAAATAAATAAATAAATGTGTTAATATTTAATCCTGATGCCGAACTTCAAGCAACGAACGCAATAGCTATAGGCTTGATATTTGCACTGGAGTCTGGTCTGGAGAGTCGAGGACTCTATGCAATGTGCAGATTTTTAAAATAAAAGTTAATAGTTTCACTATACCCTAGGAATTACACCCAGGGACAGTCATAATCGCTAAGTACCTACTATACCACGCCAGTTTAAAATGGGTACTGTGGGTAGGTAGGTAATCAAGGAGATCATGGTACCAATACAACCATTTTAAATTACTTAATCCATTTAAAAATAATCTCACACTTAAAATAGTACCAACACCTAGATTGGGCACTTTAAATACTCTAAGGGCACAAAGTTCCAAGTGCCTATAAGAATGACTTAAAAGTAAAAAGGTCGTAAGTAATTTTAAGTTATGTTTGAGTCCACCTCCTCTTAGTACGACCTACCTATTTCAGACAATAAGATTTGCATTATCAATACGAATTCCGAATGTGAAGGATTTCAAGGCTTCGTTCTCGTTCTAATCGCCTAATCCGATTTTTGTTCAGGGTTGTTGGTTTTTTATTTTGTTTATAAGCTAGTTAATAAAAGGTTTTATTTATTAATTATTAAATTAAAACAACATAGGTACCTAATTAAGCAATGAAACCCAAATATAACTTCTCGAATAAAGTGAAGGTCATTTAAAACTTTTTTACTTACAATACGTGTATCATGTTAATAAAATAATTGATACAAATACATTCTCATTGTTGTAACAACTAATGTGAATAGTCCACGACTAACGATGTGTAATCCACGTAAAGCATTACTTCTCTTTCTGACTAACCATGTTTCATATTTCTATCTTTTCTTATGCCATGTGAAGTAGTGATTGGCAGCCACGTTAATATTATCATCAATAGCATGAATGAACTTTCTCGATTACTAAACAACAATACGATTTTACAACATAACGCTAGTATACGTTAAAAATACTTTGTATAGAATAAGTGAGTCACAAAACTGCAAAAATATTTGTTAAAAATGCTATTACTAAGCTGCAAACGGTGAATAATTCATTTTCGGTACCGGTTTTCATATTTTCCCGCTGCCTGAATCATTAATTTCATGTAGTGTGTTCAATTTCTATTCGCCAGCGTCCACCAATAGCAGCTTTCCATCTGTCTGTCGTAATTTTACGTAAAACGTCATTTAGCCGCGCTGCTTTGTCCTTTTCACACGTATGCAAACCTACCAACTTAAAAACTGAGTCTATCTCACTTGTTCATTTTCCTATAGATATACGTTTTATACCTTTCTCATTCGCACTTCAGTCTATTTCTTTTGTCTGAGCAAGATGGAAGATTACTGAAGCTTAGTAACCGGTCGAAGTAATAATAGAGAATTTGCCAATTTTTGAAGTTATTCGTGGCCAGTCCTTTGCGCGCTGAGGTGGTTGTGTGAATCAAAAATGAAGTCTTTAGTGCTAGCCGTTGTCAGTTTACTGGCAATTTCATCAATAAATTGTGAAGTGTTCTTCGAGGAGAAATTCCCCGATGGTAAGTTTGTGTATTTTATTCAAAAATCTAATTTCTGAAGCGTGCCGGCTTGCCGCGTGTGCCATCGATCGATTCCATTTCCTTCGGTAGCCGGTTTATTTTGGGGAGTATTATGTTAAAATTGTACGTATCTTCATTTCAGACACATGGGAATCCAACTGGGTTTACAGTGAGCATCCCGGCAAAGAATTCGGCAAGTTCAAGCTGACTGCTGGAAAGTTCTACAATGATCCGGAGGAAGATAAAGGTAGGTGACTGACGATTCCCTTCAAGTGATGCTACATCTCATTTACAAACTGAGTGACATATCCTGTCGTTAACATTATCTCTATCTGTGACAAATCCACAAGTAACATGTCTACATGTTGTAATCTATTGTCTAGTACTTAATTGCTCAATACTAGGCCGACAAGGGGCACTGAACTTACAGTCGCCAAAAGTCGGAGATCGTAATTAGATCGGGACATTTTCTAATAAGTTTGCTATCCTAACCAGGTCTGCAGACATCTGAGGATGCCAGGTTCTACGCTCTGTCTCGCAAGTTCAAGCCATTCAGCAATGACGGCAAGCCCTTAGTGGTACAGTTCTCAGTGAAACATGAGCAGGACATTGACTGTGGAGGTGGCTACCTCAAGGTGTTTGACTGCAAGCTGGAGCAGACCGACATGCACGGCGAGACCCCCTACGAAATCATGTTTGGCCCTGACATCTGCGGTCCCGGTACCAAGAAGGTAAGAAACTTTTCAGCCAGGTATCAACAAAAACTCTTTGGTGATAAAAAACAATAGGAAACTCTTTGGTTCACACAAACACATTGAAAACAACTCAACAAAATACAATCCGAATAGAATCAATTATTAAAAATCTTTTCCAATAAACTTCCAGCTCAAATAAGAAAAAGTAACTTGTAAGAAAATGTTAGGTAACTAATTTAATTATGCAAAACTAAAGCCACTAAAGGTGTCCTACTAAACTTGAATGACCAGTCTCTGCGAACAGTTAATTCAAGTTTAATGATAATATTATGTCATAATAGTCCCCTCATTAATTCAAAGTACATTATAATGGTAACAAATAACAATAATAATTATTGTACCTTGAAGTTTGGGAATCAAATCCTATTGTATGAAATTGTTTTGAGTAATGCTTGGTATTTGATCTGAATATTACAAAACAATAATATTGTTTTACTACTAATAAATTAACTCTTATTACTTGATATAACTTTCACTTTTTCGACTACAACTAAATGAAATTGATCTACAACAGCTTTAAACAGGTTTCAATAAGTTTATTTTCATTACACAATCATGATCTATTTTAATACTTTTTTTTAAAAAACGTGTAAAAAACACTAGAATTTTCTCCTGTGTCGTGGATGTGTTTAAAACATACAAGTTCATACACATATAAAGCCTTGAAATTAAAGTAATAGAAACAAAGTAACATTTTTCTAAGATTCTTACAAATAATCTATAATAGTGAAACAACACATTCATATTTTATTGTAATAAAACGTAAGATAGAAAATCAAGTAAGCCGGTATTTGCCCTTTAGAAGTAGTGTTAGTTAGATGGTCTCACAGCAGCAGCTAATTCATAATACCTATTATGATACAGTTATCATAATACTTCTTATCAGTAAGAAGTGAGTATTATATTATATTTAATTTTAATAATAATTGTAGAAGGCATAATACTTATCCTTTGATCTATGATATTTGTCCATCTGTAGGAATAATAAAAACAGTTTGGACTTGATTACTGTTCAACTGATAATAGTCTCATACATATTATTGATTTTCCTTAATGGTGTTAACTCTATTTGAGTGTTGACGAAACGTTACAAACTGATTTTGGGCATTCTTTCTTATTAGTTGATAATGTTAATAAATGTGTGTAGAAAATAATCATAAAATATTATTTTTGATAATATGCTAATCTGTACTGAAATTATATCTAATTATGGCTATCTAATGTCCTTCACGATACTAATTTATTACTTAATTAATGAAAATGTGCCACTTGCATATTTTATGACTGTATCGTGGCTTGACGACAGCTGTACAAACATCGTGATAACTAAGTACACATACTATTTAAAAAATGTATGACTTAATTCGTAACTAGAATTATAATATTTGCTCAGTAATGCTGCTAATTTTCTATATTATACATGATTTTAGGTCCTAAAACGCCCAGTAGGTAATAGTACGCATGATTTAGATTACAACTTTTAGGTGTATTGTACGAGTATGAAAAAGTTTATCGTAAAAAATGAATGCTACGCATGCAAGGTGCTCATAAAAATCTTTCAATAATATTTCAACGTGACTTATTGATCAGTCATTAATAATTCAAAGCGGCCTCGAATTGGAGATACTCGACGCGTTCGGTATGCACTAGCTTATCGATTTTCTAGAGAGAAGTTGTATTTTAGTACTTGTAGCTTTATACCTAAGTACATGTAGGGAATGTTTGTTCGTTGTCTTTACGCTATGCATCGATCCAATCAGCCAGTTTTATAACAATAATCAATGAAGCATTCAATACCTCGGATGTTGCACAACGCCGAGTTTCCAACCGGTGATTTCGCCGAAGCTTAGACAATTAAGTAGTAACGTTAATTGGTACTTATTTATCCATTAAATAATGATATTGTCTGCGTTTTATATCCAAATTAATGAGACATTAATGGGAATTACGAAATATTGAAATGTAATAATAATATGAAGACGAATATTAGGGTCAATGACCAAAGTCTATTAGGTATTTACAATTTAGCTTGTCTAGCAATAGTCTAATAAATAAAATATGCTAATACAATTATCGCCTTTAGCAAAAGTTCGATGGAACTGCAAGGTTCGTCGACCTCAAACACGTTTGATAATATTATTATTATGCTTTTCTTTCATACAAACATGTGGATTTTAAAATCGATTAGAAGTATCTTAGAGACAGCCAATAAAGCTGAAAATCCTCTGATTTCGAAATTACTGTTTAGTTTTTACACTTAGTAATATTCTTTATTTCTTCCCCAGGTCCATGTTATCTTCAGCTACAAGGGCAAGAACCATCTGATCAAGAAGGACATCCGTTGTAAGGATGATGTCTACACCCATCTGTACACCCTGATCGTGAAACCAGACAACACCTATGAGGTGCTCATTGACAATGAGAAGGTCGAATCTGGAGATCTGGAGGCTGACTGGGACTTCCTCCCACCCAAGAAGATCAAGGTAGGATATTTTAAAATGACTGTTATTTTTACTAGATGTCAGAGCTCTTGGTGGACTTAAGTTGTCAGAAATTACGTATACACTTAAAAACTTCTTTTTCATAACTTACTCTATACCATTGTGAAACAATTGCATAAGATTCGTTTTTGAGTTTATCATGAATAGTAAAAATCAAAGTGGATTTTCTGACTCCTCTTTTTCTTCCAAAGGACCCCGAAGCCAAGAAGCCTGAGGACTGGGACGACAGGCCCACCATCCCTGACCCTGAGGACAAGAAACCCGAGGACTGGGACAAACCTGAGCACATTCCCGACCCTGATGCCACCAAGCCTGATGACTGGGATGATGAGATGGACGGCGAATGGGAGCCTCCCATGATTGACAACCCTGACTACAAGGGAGTCTGGGCACCTAAGCAGGTAATTGAACTCTTTAAAATAAACTTTAATGTCTACATTCGTTTAGAAATATCTCTGCAGTAAGAAGGTCATGTTAGTAGAAATAAAAGTAGCTGCAACAAAAACTATATTTGGACCAGTGACACCAAACTGTCTATAAAAAGATTAAAAAGAAAAGTTGCTCCAACGCCCGCCGATTTGATGACAAAAAACTCGATACGCTCTGCTTTTCACATGAAAAAAACTATTTAAATCAATTACAAATATTTTCTCTTTCTACACATTTTTTATGAAAAATTGCATTACATTTTTAAGTTAATTCAGTTGCAACGTGTCTAAATCTATTTGTGAAACTGAAGAAAGTAAGATCGAGTCAGTTGATGACGTCACATTACTCGTCTAGCGTAGCTGTTTGCATAACGTTCGCACCGTATGTTGACCCGACTTACCGTTACAATGTGAAAATTAACGTCTCATTTATAGAGTCGTCGAGCGTAACTATTCAGCCGTAAATAATAGATGACTGTTGAAAAAAAATACATATTCGACTTTTATCTTGGTTTATGTTGGTTAAAATTTTTTTTATTTATATTCAGGCAATACTAAATATAACGCTCGCTCAACTCTTCTAATCTGAAAATTTCCATTCACAGATCGACAACCCTGCCTACAAGGGACCATGGGTACACCCTGAGATCGACAACCCTGAATACACCCCTGACGCGAACCTTTACAAACGCGACGAACTTTGCGCTGTCGGTCTCGACTTATGGCAGGTCAAGTCTGGTACCATCTTCGACAACTTCCTGATCGGTGACAACATTGAGGAGGCCGCGGAACGTGGTGAGGCCCTCAAGAAGAGGTTAGAGGGTGAGAAGAAGATGAAGGGTGAACAGGATGAGGCTGAGAGGGAGAAGGAGAAGGCTGAGAAGCCTGATGATGAAGATCTGGATGACGAGGACCTTGATGATGAGGCCGGTGAAGCAGCGCCAGTGGTGAGTTCATTGTTCAATTTTGTCAGCTAGTACAATGTAAACTTTTGTTGACAGTTATTCGCAACCTCGAAGTCTTGGCATTATAGTCGCACTTTGTTTTGAATTGTTGAAGGAACTACGTCTTACTTACGCCTAATTTTATTACTGGCCTTGCATTCTAATTTGGTTTTGTCTTTGTTGCAGGAGGACCACGATGAGCTGTAAACTGTGTCAATGTGTGTGTAAAGACAATAAGTATCGCCGGGTACATACGTGAGCGTGTTGCGCGGGCTGTGCGTGTGCGCATGTTATAGTTGCAAGAACTTGAAGAACCCTTAGTTCGTCATAGTGTGTTCTAGTGTGTTCTGTTCCAGTCCTCTCTTATCTACATGTATGATAAAATAGCTGTAAAATTTTATTCAATTATCATACTTATCTTACAATGCGTGTACTGACTCGAAATATTCCATGTTGGGGTTTTAATATTTATTTTTAGCAGACCCAACACAATTTATTTTGTATAAAGTTTGAAATCACGCTCATTTTATTGTATTAATGTTAATACGGCACTGTGTGTCGTCGAGTGCAGGGGTTTATTGTACACTGTTAGTTGCTGTAGCCTAAATTTTTGTAAGAAATTTGACTAATGTTGTAGAATAAATCTGTGAGTGGAAGTTTCTCATTTATGTTGTGAAACGAGTCTGATTAAAATTAATATATTACATTTATTTTTTTGTTTTATTTTGTTTGTTTGATTTAACATCGAGTTAAAACTCTACACTCGCTAAAAAATGATCTTCGGGCTGCAAAATATCCTGATGATAATGGAAGTGTTTTTGTGGTCTACGAATTAATAAGAGAAAATGGTATTGTTTTATGTGCATCATGTCCGAGTTTTATTCTAATAAACTTGATATTAAGGAGTTGTTTATTTTTACTATGTAGCAACAACTAGAAATATTTTTAATTAAATTATAATACAGTAAGTAGGTGATTTGTCTGTAGTTCGAAAAACTTGTAGTACCATAAAACGGGGTGAATAGATACAGGAATGGTTAGAATATTTTCCAACATTGATACACTCCTTGAATTCTATTCACCCCGTTCTATTGTAGATCATTATTCTCTCGTGCTATTAGTGTAGCATCTTAGTAACAATTATAATTAAACTGTCAAACACCGCGAGGACACCGGTGACCGCAACCTATTGTTCTTTAATTGTGTCTATAATGACGGTACTCAACGAGTTAATAAGTATTCTAATAGGATTATTTGAGACCATCATATACATCGATATTTGGATTACAGATTAAGGGTACCTTAGAATCCTCTGCAAAATGCTCCACTTCATTTCACAGTAGATAAGAAGGAAGGATAAAGAAGGTACTACTGCATGAATAAGCTTGTAATGAATAAAACAAGAGATAATAACTTCGTATATTTATGCACTTAACATACTGAATAACTTAGCTAATAATTTGACGTAACTAGAAATAATTCTTTTCACTGGGTTCCTAGCCCGGGATGACGAATTCTCACTTTGCGGGCCCCACAACACTGTTTAGAACAGAAAATATTGTCAATAAAACTAGGAACGTAATTTTACGATAAATCGTCACTTCGGAAAATATAAACAGGCGCGCATTATTGTGAGTTAGTTCAACTGAAGTACTTTAACTTTTGTCATTTTAGTTCATCAGGTATTCGCTAGATGTCTCTAATTTCAAATTATTTAAATGGAAAGGTGGCTCCGAAATAAATTACGTATTCACTTACGCCAATCGTTGACAACTGAAACATAAATAAATAATATAAAAATTACACAAATACATGTACGTTTAAATAAAAATAAATTATGTTATCTTTATTATAATATTGTATAAGATAGTAGGTATTAGAGTCTCTGGTCCTTGAATAACTGAGCGAATGAAGATAAATTTGATGTAAGGAGGTTGACATCCGTAAGTATTATATTTAGATACCTACCCAAATACAACAATACAATTGAGATGGACAATAGTAAGTTCCCAAGCAAGGGGAGACTTACAAAAGACTCAGTTTGAGTTCACCAATTGTTCAGTTAAGTATTAATATTAATGTAAATTCTGACGAAAACAGACTAGGCATTATTTGAGTTCAGAGAAGTCTTCTTACCTAATGGAGGCTTTAGAATATAAGATCGTGTCTTTTACTAATAGGTATTGTCAGTAAGAATAACCAGAAAAAAGCAACATACCGGCCGAACGTATAACCTCCTCCTTTTTTGAAGTCGGTTAAAAAGTAATAACGAATGAGAGAAAAGATGAAACTTAAAAATAAAAAATATTGTGTTCCATGTTTAAAAAACATGACTCATGTCTACTAATAATTTGTGAACCTGATGGGCTGATTTTGTACGTAATTGTAAGAATCTAAGAATCGACCTATACATGTTTAGTATTTGAAGGTTCAGTATCAAGTACTAAACTTTCACAGTCATAAACACAACCAACTATTAATATTTAGAAATCCTTTCTATCACATTATCCGATCTAAAGATTATAGAACTGTAGGTACTTAATACCGTCAACCAATCAGAACTATATTCCATATTTAAAAAAAAACTTACGCTCATCCCACTGTTTTACTTTTTTCTTCTTCAGTCTCGCGAAGTCCTCGATAAGGTCAGGTTTGGCAGTCGTCATGGTTGTAGTGGATGTTGTGGATGTAGGGGGCGTGGTCGTGTGATGTGTATGAGTGATGTGATCCCACATCCATTTACAAGGCGCTGCTGATACTGCGAAGTTAATACATTCCGATTTGAAATATATATATATATATATTCCATTTTAGATGCAAGGTACACATGACTCAGGTATCAAACTGGGATTTGCTCAGTAGTCCCGCTTACGACCACTCGATCAATGAAACAGTGTTTATATTACCTACATAATAATATCAGCTTTTTTTTGATGGGGGAAAATCATCCAATGTCTTCTCCCGCCTTGGGTTAAGTGAAAGGGAGTGTCATACTCTTACTGACAAAAAACCACCCCGTTCCTAATCCTGCTCTTCGAGCCGGAGCCCCGGCAACCCGTTAGGGCTTCCGCGGCTCTGTATCATTTTTAGCCTTATTGGGCCAATGGGCCCCATCTGTGGTGGTCTGATTGCTCTTTTGGGCGCGCACAGAATGCAACGCGCCGTACACAAGGGAATAATATGTGCTTGGAAATAGTTTAACTACGCTAATCCTATAGTGCAGTGGATCATGAACCTTGTTGATAATCAGGCTAAAAGTGTAGAATAAGTTACACAAAATGTTTTCCCTGAAACCAATATTCTGCCCTTGTTCACAATATACAATATGAAGTTGGGTAGAAAACGCTTGATATATGTATTGTCGACGATGCAGTTAACGGATCAAAATAAACCACATCATTTATTATGACTTGTTGACGTACTCTGTAGCGACCCTCTTCGAGTATAAAGCGAAAGAAATAATCTGTCAAGAGGTCGACGCACACAGAATACCAATAAGGCAAGGTTTCCGTAAACAAAAATTGTTATTTTTAAAGGATTTACTTTGATTTCTCACCTTCATTTTCCTTTTGAGAGATGAGTATCTGCAAACACAAGTAAAAATTATGATCAAAATTTTATGAATTTCTATAAAGTACCTACTTACATACAGGTTAAGAATTTAGATAAAGGACATTATATCTAAGTGTGAGAGAGCCATGCTTCGGCATGTATGAGCCGGCTCGATCGGAGTGATACCACGGTCTCACAGAAGACCGACGTGAAACAACGCTTGCGTTGTGTTTCGTCGTGTGAGTGAGGTTACCTGAGGTCCAATTACCCCTCCTCACCATTTCCAATCCTTGAATCCCTAACAATCCTCAGGCAAGTAACGCTCTTGTAACGTCTCTGGTGTTTCAGGTGTCCATGGGTGACGCCGATTGCTAATCATCAGGTGATCCACCTGCTCGGTTACCGGTCTAGCCCATAAAAAATATATATATAGGATGTCTAGTTCTGGTCAATCATTTCTGGACTAAATAGATATATTGAAATAGACACATTTTGAATGGTTACTGATTTATTCTTTGATTGATTATCACTCAACTAACTCAGATTATCTATTACGTTAGTCGTATTAGCCAGAAAGGGTCAGTACCTAATCGATTTTGACACAAAATTTGCAGAGGCACTCCCCCTACTCAGGCTGTACATGATTATGCTCTTTGAGCACTGTCCGGTTAAATAGACACGGGACAGTTTTATAGAGCTGTCTGCGAGGTGACAGTGGGAGTAAATTATTAGAAGCACTTAATCTAAAATATAAAAGAAAGTTGTGTATTTATAACTCAAGAACGGCTAAATCGATTTGGATGGAAATTGGTGGGGAGGTAGCTTATAAGCATGAGACGGACATGCGATACATTTTTCAATTTGTTTTACTTTCTACCGAGAATCACTAACGGGATAGGGAAAAAATGGAATTGCGCGTACGAAGTTGCGGGCAGAAACTATCGTCGTACCAATATATTGTATTCTCAGCTATCACCACCATATAATAGAGATAACATAAAAATAAATAAAAGTGTGGGAGAGCCATGCTTTGGCACGAATGGGCCGGGTCGACCGGAGTGATACCGCGGCCTCACAAAAGACCGACGGGAAACAACGCTTGCGTTGTATTTCGTCGCGTGAGTAAGGATGCCGGAGGCCCAATTACCCCCCCCCCCTTCCCCAATCTCCCCAATCCCTGACTCCCCAACAATCTTCAAATTCCTAATCCCAAAGGGCCAGTAGCGCGCTTGTAACGCCTCTAGTGTTCCAGGTGTCCATGGGCGACGCCGATTGCTTACCATCAGGTGATCCGTCTGTAAGTTTACCGGATTATCCCATAAAAACAATTAAAATCTTACCAAAAACGCCACAGACACGAGAAACTTTAAACAGTACATGTTTTGCTAATTAACGAAGCACATAATAATATGTTCAGTCGACCACTCCGTTTATATACCTACTTATATATGTGTAAAATAAAGCCTTAGTTACACTTGTTACACGCCTGTTATGTTATATTGTTATACATAATGCTTCCTTGTTATATTGGTATCTACATAATATTATGTATTTCTTAGTAAAGAATTTGGGAAAAGAACTCGTGCTTTGATTGTCAATTGTCATGTACGAAATGAATGCATAATATGCTTATTTCGTTATTTAGTAGTTTAAATAGGTTTTATGGAGCGGTTTTTCAGAGGTTTTTTCAAGGGGGGAAAATCTTCGAATGACTTCTCACGCCTGGGTGAGGCAAGAGGGAGTGTCAGACTCTTACTGACTAAAAACCATCCCGTTCCTACTCCCGCTCTTCGAGCTAGAGCCTCGGCAACCCGTTAGGCCTTCTGCGGCTCCGTATCGGACATCAGCCCTACTGGGCCCCATCTGTGGTGGTATGATGGCTCTTTGAGGCGCGCGCGGTACGCGACGTGCTGTACGCTCGGGGTTTTCAGAGGTTTGCATGTACAAAAGCCTAAATGGTTCTATATTATGTCTTTTTAGTTAAATAATTGATGTATGTTATGTAAAAATATGAATTAAAAAATATACCTAGTTGTGTAAATTAAAATTGTGATCAGTTGGTGACTTGGTGCAAATTACTGACTGTCATCACATATTTATTTACGACACTTTAATAATTCCCCTACTATAAACAGTTCTCACTCACTTTAACACCTTTCCCATCCTGAAACCCTCACTCTAAGGAAAAAATATTTTCGTAACCCAAAAGTTTATTCTGAGTTTTATAAGGGCGGGCCTAACAGCATTGTTTTTACAGTCACCCCTCACTGAACCACATTTCTTTGGTAATATAGACTTCCTTAATACAATGATAGTAAGGTCGAAAGTTGATTGGGTATTCTTAGAAGGGTGTAAAGGACTTTTGTCCCTTAAGGCGAGGTGATAACGTGTAGTGTCAACATTTGCCCTGCATCGGTAGATATCCGGTGTCAACTGACATGGCCGACTTTTGTCTATAGTCAGGAGGAAAAGAAATAAATGATAAATGATTGATGTATTTTTTTTGCTAGGAAACTATAGCAGATGGATTTGACTTCTTAGATAAGAAGTTCCAAATTAATTTTGTGATTGATTTGTGTTTATTTTTATTAATTTAGATTGCTTTTTTTTTTTGTGTTGTTGAAATCTAATTCTTCTTTTGATTTTAAAGTTGGTTGAAAGTTCGTGATATTTTATACAGTTCTTTATATGGCATAAGTCGGTTAACGAGCAGACGGATCTCCTGATGGTAAGTAATCGGCGCCGTCCATGGACACCCGAAACACCAGAGGTGTTAGAAGTGCGCTACTGGCCTTTTGGGATTAGGAATTGGTGAGATTGGGGAGGTGGCAATTGGGTTTCACTACGCAAATCTTATTTCACGTCGGTTTTCTGTGAGGCCGTGGTATCACTTCGTTTGAGCCGGACAATTCGGGCTGAAGCATGGCAAGCATGGCTCTCCAACACTTGAACGTTAAAAGTACCTAGACCCCAAATATTAATAAACACACACAGTATAAATTAGTGTTCTTACATCAATGCTGCTCTTTACAAAAAGAGACGTGATACCCCATACTCTAACAGCCTGAACTCGACAATGACACACACTTTAACTAATCTGTGACACATAAACCCTTGCACCATATTGTTGAACGTAAAGACACACCACAGCCCAGTTTCACGCGCTCCACGTTGTTATAACAAGATATTTCTCATTGCTATAATAACTTAATTCTGTGCAGGAAATAGAGTTCATTTTGCTTCGTCGGTGATAAGCAGCGATGGCAGAACGTTTAATTAAATCTACTAACGCCACAGTCAATCTTTATTAAATCCAGTAGGTCAACGCTATACATCTGTTTTGACATCGTAAAAATAAATAATTTGGTTCGAAGCAGTTTTATTAAAAAATCGTTTCCTATTTCGTGTACTGATTTGATAACTCAAAGTTTAAGGCATTGTTTCGTTGTTTTGCTTATTTTAACTGGTAGATACCTCTATCTATGTATAACTTCCTATCTTTTTTTATGGCATAAGCAGGTAAACGAGCAGACGGATCACCTGATGGTAAGCAATCGCCGTCGCCCATGGACACCTGGAACACCAGAGGCGTTACAAGTGCGTTACCAGCCTTTTGGGGATTAGGAGTTTGAGGATCGTTGGGGATTCAGGAATTGGGGAGATTGGGGAAGGGGAGGGTAATTGGGCCTCCGGTAACCTCACTCACACGACGAAACACAACGCAAGCGTTGCTTCACGTCGGTTTTCTGTGAGGCCGTGGTATCACTCCGGTGGAGCCGGCCCATTCGTGCCGAAGCATGCTCTCGCACACTTATATAAGGATAGATTTTGGCCAATAGAAAATTAACTAGAGGTGTTAAAACAATCCCTCAGTAAAATTTAAGATCAACATTTTACATTCGTACACACATAGGTATAAGCTACCGATCACAGCATATTTTTGATTAACTACCTACCTAAACTAATAATAAAAGAAATTCCACCACGTTGTTCCTACAGAACTTAACCAGAATTTATTCACACAGAACGCTCCACGCTTGTTTTACTATCTCCGTAAATAATACTCGGTTTTACGCGATACGAGTTTTTGTGGCTACGCCATGACAGTTTTATGCCTGTGTCGGGAGCAGGGAAGCTAGACTCATGAATCGATGCTAACACGATTAGGGGAAACGGCCATCATTAGAACCCCAGAGCATTTTGAAATGGGGAACATTCGAAATACGAACAGTAAAAAAAATGCCATGATTTTCTTTTTCATGGAAATATCTAAGGAGTTTTGGGGCAAGGGAGTCGACCTTTTTGCAAATAAAGTTTATTGCGGTTTTGTAAGTAATAGCAGTATTAAGTAGTCTTACGGTTTAGGGGAAGTAAAGACCGCTTGACAAGGGTCAAATAATAACTATTTTGCGTATTTATAATATGTCAAGCTAGTAGATTAATATCGGATATTTTTCGTATCCTTCTCGTACAACAATGTTAGATTGTATCCTTGTGTATGAAACTACAAATACGTGTGATTAAAGCCAGAGCTTTGAATATTTAGTTAGGTAAATACCTCATATGACTATTATGTTAATATTTAAATATTATTTTTTATGGGATACGCCGGTAAACGAGCAGAACACCACAGGCGTTACAAGTGCGTTGCCGGTGGAATTTGAGGATAGTTGGAGATTCAGGGATGGGAGGGGGGGGGGGGTAATTAAGCGTCCTGTAACCTCACTCACGCGACGAAACACGACGTCGGTTTTCTGTGTGGCCATGGTCGAGCACTCATCATCATCACACCCGGTCGAGCAGGCCCATTCGTGGCAAACATGGCTCTCCCACACTTAAAACCTACCTAATAAAAGTTAATTTAACATTTATTTTATTATAAACTTTCCATATTGAATAAAATAGAGCTAATATTAGTCAGTTTCATGATCATGGAATAACAGTTAATATTTATTTAAAGGGACCTCGGGTCCCGGGAGGCCAGTGCTTTGATCATCAATTTATACAAGGACGGCCGGGAGGGGGCGCGCACTGCACAGCTTTAGTAATTTGATTACAATTGATTATATTAGGATTATTCGACATTAATGTTATTTTATCATTTGACCTGGTTCTTCGTTCAGCTTGTGCCAATAAAGATTTTGTTAATGAGTTCATTACCATTTATCTTATTCTCTTTGAAGTTTATTTTTTGAAAACCTATAAGTTATCCTGTACCTATAGGCAGGATGCGTAATATAGGCCTTTATTCCTCAATACATAAAATTCAGTTCAGAGTGAACAGTGACTTGATTTGCGATCCGGATCCGGTTCTATGAAAGATGACACAATTTTTAGTTATTTTATGACCTCTTAACTTTTAAATTAATCTCGTTAATTCATCTAGAATTATCAGCAGTAATAATGCTTAGCAATGTACATACAAGGAAAACATTTACGAATTCAATTAAGTATCCTAGACTTTACAAATCTGACTCAGTACATAATTGGATACCAAGAAGTTTGTCTATCATTCTGTTCATTAGGCTGAACGTTACTAGTGACATCTACCGGAATCAATAAGAACTACGTGCTCACTCAAGTCCGTAGCGAAAGCATTTGTTTCACTTTAGCTTGTTTTAGCTATGGTTATGATGATTTCAAGGTCATGACGGAAAATTATCAAATTGATGATATCATAGTTTAGCACTAAATAGTAGTAAATAGTCGCACTCAAGTGATAATGCCTTTAAATGCTATTAAGGTCGTTGCAACGTTATGTCCGTTGGATAAAATAACCGATTCCTAAAGGCAACTTTTAATATTAAGTTGATAAGAATTTTCTAAGTATACATTTCAAATTCTGTTTTCTAAAATTTTTGGGATTGTAATAGAATTATACTAATGTTATTCTGTATGACCTGGACCAAAAGTGATAAAAATAAGCGTAGGTACCTACCCATTTGCATAAATGGGTGTACATATCTAACACCAATTTACGAGCAATTTTTGTATATCTACGATTTCGGAAACTGCTCCAACGATTTTGCTTGAAATTTTGTATTCAGGGGGTTTAAAAAAACACTCGTTTGTATTCAGTTGTACATGTTTATTTATTTTTTTCCTTTCCTTATATTCTATGTTGTCAATACGAATAAATAACTTTCTATCGTTGTGGGAGCGATAAATCGAACTAGTTAGGTGTAATTTTGAAAAAATATCGTTTACTAAAAAAAACATCGAGCAAAGCTCGGTCATCCAGATATTATAATTGATACGAGGATGTCATAATATTACTTAATGATGCATAATAGTTTTACATTATGATAGCCAATTACTCAATATTTTTATTCATCACGGGTTTATTGATAAGACTCTTTTATTGGGAATAACCCGCATT